TAACTGGCCTTCTTATGACTTACTGGCTAACTGGCCATCTCATAACTTACTGGCTAACTGGCCATCTCATGACTTACTAGTTAAGTCGCCATCTCATGACTTATTTACTGGGTAACTGGCAATCTCATGCCTCACTGGCTAACTCGCCATCTCATGACGTACTGGGTAACTGGCCATCTCATGACTTCCTGGCTAACTGGCCATCTCATAACTTACTGGCTAACTGGCCATCTCATGACTTACTAGCTAAGTCGCCATCTCATGACTTATTTACTGGGTAACTGGCCCTCATATGACTTACTCACTGTCTAACTGGCAATCTCATGACTTACAGGCTAACTGGCCATCTCATACATTACTGGCTAACTGGCCTCCTTAAGCCTTACTGGCAAACTCGCCATCTCATGACTTACTAGCTAACTGGCCCTCTCATGACTTACTGGCTAACTCGCCATCTCATGACGTACTGGGTAACTGGCCATCTCATGACTTACTGGCTAACTGGCCATCTCATAACTTACTGGCTAACTGGCCATCTCATGACTTACTAGCTAACTCGCCATCTCATGACTTATTTACTGGGTAACTGGCAATCTCATGCCTCACTGGCTAACTCGCCATCTCATGACTTACTACTGGCCATCTAACTGGCCATCTCATGACTTCCTCACTGGCTAACTGGCCATCTCATACTTACTTACTGGCTAACTGGCCATCTCATGATGACTTACTAGCTAACTGGCCATCTCACTGACTTACTTACTGGCTAACTGGGTGAACTCATCTCATGACTTACAGGCTAACTGGCCATCTCACTGACTTACTTACTGGCTAACTGGCCTCTAACTTACTGGCAAACTGGCTGCCATCTCATGACTTACTAGCTAACTGGCCATCTCTCATGACTTACTCACTGGCTAACTCGCCATCTCATGACTTATTCATGACTTACTGGGTAATTGGCCATCTCATGACTTATTTACTGGCTAACTGGCCCTCATATGACTTACTCACTGGCTAACTGGCCACCTCATGACTTACAAGCTAACTGGCCATATCACTGACTTACTCACTGGCTAACTGATCATCTCATGACTTACTCGCTGGCTAACTGATCATCTCATGACTTACTGGCTAATTGACCATCTCATGACTTATTTACTGGGTAACTGGCCCTCATATGACTTACTCACTGTCTAACTGGCCATCTCATGACTTACTAGCTAACTGGCCATCTCATGACTTTTTTACTGGGTAACTGGCCATCTCATGACTTACAGGCTAACTGGCCATCTCATGACTTATTTACTGGCTAATTGGCCCTCTCATGACTTACTTGCTAACTGGCCCACTCATGACTTACTGGCTAACTGGCCATCTCATACCTTACTTGCTAACTGGCCTTCTTATGACTTACTGGCTAACTCGCCATCTCATGACATACTAGCTAACTGGCCCTCTCATGACTTACTGACTAACTCGCCATCCCATGACTTACTGGCTAACTGGCCCTCTCATGACTTACTGGCTAATTGGCCATCTCATGACTTATTTACTGGGTAACTGGCCCTCATATGACTTACTCACTGTCTAACTGGCCATCTCATGACTTACTAGCTAACTGGCCATATCACTGACTTACTTACTGGCTAGCTGATCATCTCATGACTTACTAGCTAACAGGCCATATCACTGACTTACTCACTGGCTAACTGATCATCTCATGACTTACTAGCTAACTGACCATATCACTGACTTACTCACGGTCTAACTCGCCATCTCATGATCTACTAGCTAACTGACCATATCACTGACTTACTCGCTGGCTAACTGATCATCTCATGACTTACTAGCTAACTGGCCATATCACTGACTTACTCACTGGCTAACTGATCATCTCATGACTTACTAGCTAACTGGCCATATCACTGACTTACTCACTGGCTAACTGATCATCTCATGACTTACTAGCTAACTGGCCATATCACTGACTTACTTACTGGCTAACTGATCATCTCATGACTTACTAGCTAACTGGCCATATCACTGACTTACTCGCTGGCTAACTGACCATCTCATGACTTACTAGCTAACTGACCATATCACTGACTTACTCACTGGCTAACTGACCATCTCATGACTTACTAGCTAACTGGCCATATCACTGACTTACTCACTGGCTAACTGATCATATCATGACTTACTAGCTAACTGGCCATATCACTGACTTACTCACTGTCTAACTGGCCATCTCATGACCTACTAGCTAACTGGCCATATCACTGACTTACTTACTGGCTAACTGATCATCTCATGAGTTACTAGCTAACTAATCGACCATCACTGACTTACTCACTGGCTAACTGACCATCTCACTGACTTACTCACTGGCTAACTGACCATCTCACTGACTTACTCACTGGCTAACTGACCATCTCACTGATGTACCCAATGGCTAATCGACCATCTCACTGACTTACTCACTGGCTAATTGACCATCTCACTGACTTACTCACTGGCTAACTGACCATCTCACCGACTTACTGGCTAACTGACCATCTCACTGACGTACCCAATGGCTAATCGACCATCTCACTGACTTACTCACTGGCTAACTGACCGTCTCACTGACTTACTCACTGGGTAACTGACCATCTCACTGACTTACTCACTGGATAACTGACCATCTCACCGACGTACCCAATTGCTAATCGACCATCTCACTGACTTCCTCACTGGCCAATCGACCATCTCACTGACTTACTAGCTAACTGACCATCTCACTGACTTACTCACTGGCTAACTGACCATCTCACTGACTTACTCACTAGCTAACTCGCGATCTCATGACTTACTCACTGGCTAACTGACAATCACATGACTTACTCACTGGCTAACACGCCATCTCATGACTTACTGGCTAAGTGGCCCTCTCATGACTTGCTGACTTACTGGCTAACTGGCCCTCCCATGAGTCACTGGCTTATTTGCCATCTCATGACGTACTGGCTTACTGGCCTTCTTATGACTTACTGGCTAACTGGCCCTCTCATGACTTACTGGTGAACTGGTCATCTCATGACTTACTGGTGAACTCGCCATCTCATGACTTACAGGCTAACTCGCCATCTTATGACTTATTTTCTGGTTAACTGGCCCTCTAATGACTTACTGAGTAACTGGCCATCTCATAACTTATTGGCTAACTGGCCATCTCATGACTTACGAGCTAACTCGCCATCTCATGACTTATTTACTGGGTAATTGGCCATCTCATGACTTACAGGCTAACTCGCCATCTCATGACTTATTTACTGGGTAACTGGCCCTCTTATGACTTACTGGCTAACTGGCCCTCTCATGACTTACTGGCTAATTGGCCATCTCATACCTTACTTGCTAACTGGCCTTCTTATGACTTACTGGCTAACTCGCCATCTCATGACATACTAGCTAACTGGCCCTCTCATGACTTACTAGCTAACTCGCCATCTCATGACTTACTGGCTAACTGGCCCTCTCATGACTTACTGGCTAATTGGCCATCTCATGACTTATTTACTGGGTAACTGGCCCTCATATGACTTACTCACTGTCTAACTGGCCATCTCGTGACCTACTAGCTAACTGACCATATCACTGCCTTACTTACTAGCTAACTGTTCATCTCATGACTTACTAGTTAACTGGCCATATCACTGACTTACTGACTGGCTAGCTGATCATCTCATGACTTACTAGCTAACTGGCCATATCACTGACTTACTCGCTGGCTAATTGGCCATCTCATGACTTACTAGCTAACTGACCATATCACTGACTTACTCGCTGGCTAACTGATCATCTCATGACTTACTAGCTAACTTGCCATATCACTGACTTACTCACTGGCTAACTGATCATCTCATGACTTACTAGCTAACTGGCCATATCACTGACTTACTCGCTGGCTAACTGATCATCTCATGACTTACTAGCTAACTGGCCATCTCACTGACTTACTCACTGGCTCACTGATCACCTCAAGACTTACTAGTTAACTGACCATATCACTGACTTACTCGCTGGCTAACTGATCATCTCATGACTTACTAGCTAACTGGCCATATCACTGACTTACTCACTGGCTAACTGGTCATCTCATGACTTACTAGCTAACTGGCCATATCACTGACTTACTCACTGGCTAACTGATCATCTCACAGACTTACCCAATGGCTTAAAGACAGGTTGGTTGATTTAATGGCTTGTCGACAAGCTCACTAACATATTTCGAACCCAATGGCTGAATGTTCAGCTCTAACCTCGGACTAACTCACTCACTCGTAGTTGGCCTGTTCACACTGTTCATCACTCCAGCCCGCCTGTCAGCTCATGTCCAGCACCATGCCCGTGTCAGTTTCCTGTGTAGTTGCTGTAACTGTTGTCCGGTTGTCCGTGCACCCAGTTCGTATAAGCGACGGTATTTCCACTGGTCATCCATGTCCACTGCATGTCAACGTAGAGGTCAGTGCCCCCTGTCCAGACTGACTGACTGAGTTTGGTTTTACGCCGCTCTTAGCAATATTCCAGCAATATCACGGCGGGGGACACCAGAAATGGGCTTCACTCATTGTACCCATGTTGGGATTCGAACCCGGGTCTTCGGCGTGACGAGCCAACGCTTTAACCACTAGACCCCCCCCCGTCCCCCGTCCCTTTTCAGAACTTGTTGCACTCTGTGTGGAGATTGAGACTATGTATATTGACAACTGTCCATTTGAGACAAAATGATACCGATGAATTGCAATCTAACACAAAAACAAATAGACATAAGAGCATCAAACCAACGCGGACTGCAATAAAAACAATAGTTTTGCATAATTCTTGGCACAAAAATAAAACAGTTGTTTGAGAAACTGTCATCATTTATTTGTGCGTTTTCCAAGTTTGTTACAAGGGCGCATTGGCAACTAAAGGTACAGCGCGAAAAGCGAGGTGCACGTGCATTAGTGACGTCAGAGACATGTGATTACTGCTGATTGACAAAGTGAGCTGGGGTACGTGTCATCTCGCCAGTTCAAAAAATTGTTGTACTAACGGAATAATGTATTGTACTAACGGAATGATGTATTGTACTAACGGAATAATGTATTGTACTAACTCAGTAGCTGTCTGACTTACCGCCTAACTTCCAGCCAGACTAACTGACTAGCCGACTAACGCAATGACTGATTGACTCATTGGCTAACCGACTATCTCACTAACTGACTAACCGACCAGATCACAGACTTACCGAGAAGCTGACTCATTCACTGGCCAACAGACCGGTTATACATATATACTACTCACACTTTGCTAAGGATCACAAAACTTCCAAACTTTACTTAAACATAGATTTATAATTTGAAATTGTATTCATTTAAAACAAGATAAATACTGATATAACCCCTCTTTAGGAAAACAGTCACTGTAATTTAACCTCATGCACTTGATACGTGAGTAGCGACTATGCTTGTCGACTAACGGGATCGTATGGAATCCGAGAAGGGACATTGTCGGGTTGTCGCATTGTCGCCCTCTCAAAAACAAGTAAAATGAGGCAAAATAAACCAAAAAAGGCGACACGCGACACGCGACAACGCGACATTTCGCCCATTTGTCGCGTTGTCGCCCTTTTCGATTACCGGTGCGCATACGTAGAAAGTCAATTACACTACGCATGCGCAGCAAAAGTTATACTCTATTTCACACTTCAGTGGTCTTTTGTTACCTCCAATGGTTTTTGAAATGAAGTAGTAGTCGTAATGGGGTCTGCTTTTCTTGAACTTAATGGAAATCTTTCATTGTTGCTTTGAAAATTATTTTAGATATTGTAAATGTATTTAGCCAATCAAGTGTTTTTAGCAGCAACACAAATTATTAGCGCTACTATTCATTGTAATGTCGGCATACAGTGACCATGTCATTCAAGGCGGGGCAATTTTCTGTGCATAGTTATGTCTCTTAGTCACACCAGAAAACTATGATCATAGGTTCGAATCCTAGCACCATACACATTCATCACTTTGGAGCCCGTGAAGGTCCGGGTTAGAATATTGATCTTCAGTAACCCCTGCTTGTCGTAAGAGGCGACTAACGGGATCGGGTGGTCAGGCTCACTGGCTTGGTTGACACATGACATCGGTTCCCAATTGCGCAGATCGATGCTCATGCTGTTGATCACTGCATTGTCTGGTCCAGACTCGATTATTTACAGACCGCCGCCATATAGCTGGAATATTGCTGAGTGCGGCGTAAAACTAAACTCACTCACTCATGATACATGAGTAACCGTAAAAATGGTTTTCATGGCACCAATCAACCATTTTGCAAATCATGGAACGAGTCATTGACAAGTACACAACACCTGTCAATAGCAGGTATGGGATCCACAAGATGCAGTGACATACTGAATCCTAGGATCAATGCTTACAATAAGCTTAGATATTTAAACCAAATTAGACCCCACATCATAGTTTTCTGTTGAATGAATGGTTTAATCCTTAGCAAAGTGTGAATAGTATAATTATATTGTTAAACGCTGGCTACACACTTACAGTCAGGTTTTCCGATTTTCACGAGGCCTGCCTTGATGAGGTTGTTATGGAATTGCTTGCCCACTGTAATAAAACCCGTGTGTCATGGAGCCTGACAGTCAGAGAGTCATGGAACCTGACAGTCAGAGAGTCATGGAACCTGACAGTCAGAGAATCATGGAACCTGACAGTCAGAGAGTCTTGGAACCTGACAGTCAGAGAGTCATGGAGCCTGTTTGTCACATTGTAATGGAGCCTGCATGTAAGATTGTCAAGGAGCCTGCTTGTCAAATTGTAATGGAGCCTGCATGTAAGATTGCCTTGGAGCCTGCATGTACGATTGTCATGGAGCCTGCTTGTCAGATTGTCAAGGAGCCCGCTTGTCAGATTGTCATTAAGCTTGCTTGTCAGATTGTCATTAAGCTTGCTTGTCAGAATGTCATTGACCCTGTTTATCAGATTGTCAAGGAGCCTGCTTTTCAGGTTGTCCAGGAGCATGTTTATCATATTGTCATGGAGCCTGCTTGTCAGATTGTCAAGGAGCCTGCTTGTCAAATTGTAATGGAACCTGCATGTAAGATTGTCATGGAGCCTGCTTGCCAGATTGTCAAGGAGCCTGCTTGTCAAATTGTCAAGGAGCCCGCTTGTCAGATTGTCATTAAACTTGCTTTTCAGATTGTCATGGAGCCTGCTTGTCAGATTGTCAATTAACCTGCTCGTCAGAATGTCATTGAGCCTGTTTGTCGGATTGCCATGGAGCCTGCTTGTCAGATTATCATGGAATATGCTTACCAGATTGTCCAGGAACCTGCTTGCCGGATTGTCAAGGAGCCTGCTTGTCAGATTGTCATGGATCCGGCTTGTCAGATTGTCACGGAGTCTGCTTGTCAGATTGTCATGGAGCCTACTTGTCAGATTGTCATGGAACGTGCTTGCCAGATTGCCCTGTAGCCTACTTGTCAGATTGTCAGGGAGCCTGCTTGTCAGATTGTCATGGAGCCTACTTGTCAGATTGTGATGTAGCCTACTTGTCAGATTGTCATGGAGCCTGCTTGTCAGATTGTCATGGAGCCTGCTTGTCAGATTGTCATGGAGCCTGCTTATCGATTGAATAAAACATATGGAACATGATTGTCGGATTCTCACGGAATTGCTTTCCTATTAGGGGCAGTGAGGTAGCCTAGTGGTTAAAGCGTTCGCTCATCACGTCTAAGACCTGGCTTCGATTCCACACATGGGTACAATGTGTGAAGCCCCTTTCTAGTGTCCCCCGCCATGATATTCCTGGAATATTGTTAAAATTGGCGTAAAACACAACTAACTCACTCACTCACTTGTACCCTAAATATTGGTGCTCATAATATTACTCACTTGTTTTTGTCATCCCGATAAACTTCTTTAAATTCGTGTGACTAAATGTCATTCTGCCTTCTCAAGAACAACGCAGGTTTTAAATAACATTCCTGGTTGCCTGGTTGGTTGTTTAACGCCACACTCACTCTGGACCAGACAATCCAGTGATCAACATCATGATCATCGAATCTACGCAATTGGGATACGATGACACGTGTCAACCAAGTCAGCGAGCCTGACCAGGCGATCCTTTTATGACAAGCATGGGTTGCTGAAGATCAATTCTAACCCGGATCTTCACGTGTTTTACATAGTATTCAATTAGATCCCGGAAATATACTAATCGGGACTATTGTTTATTATAAATGGTTTTAATGTCAACGAGAAAACATACATCACCTTATCTAATGCCTTCACTATTCCCAAGCGTGACGTGCTAAATGATTAAGAACGGAACCGTAAGAGACTATTAGTCGCGAAAAGGTAAACTCAGATGAAAGTAACTGACAGCACAGGGCATACCTTATGGATGAGTGACGGTTTATAAAATCACATATCATGAAACACTGACGTTACAAAAGACAACCGCACTTGTAAAGACGTACAATGGCTGAAGGATTGTTTCGGATTAAAAAACACGGACGAATGGAGTCCACGAAGTCAAACGCATCTAGCTGCTCATTCGTCAAGCTGTGCCTGGATGTAAAAACATCAGACACTAAAGATTAAAGCTTGATTCACAAATACAATCCCTAATCAATTAGACACATGAAGATGTCCCGTTGACTGGGGTTTTGTATCGTCAGAAAGGCAATAATCAATCCTTGAGTCTGTGCGTGCATTAGAAGAACAAAGCTATAAATTTGATGACGGAAGACGTGTCCTGTTCTGATTGCGACCACTCCCTCAAATGGGATTTGGACGTCATACGGAACTGAAAAATTAAAAATAATAAATGCGTCGTTTGGTAATAAACCTGCTTACTCATCTCATGATGGCTGGAATGTGGGAATGGAACAGTGATTTAGATTTGAAATTCTTCCGTCCACCTCTGTTTCCTCTGATTTGTCCTGACCCGTGAAGGTCCGGGTTAGAATGAATCTTCAGTAACCCATGCTTGTCATAAGAGGCGACTAACGGGATCGGGTGTTCAGGCTCGCTGACTTGGTTGACACATGTCATCGGTTCCCAATTGCGTAGATCGATGCTCATGCTGTTGATCACTGTATTGTCTGTTCCAGACTCGATTATATACAGACCGCTGCCATATAGCTGGAATATTGCTGAGTGCGGCGTGAAACTAAACTCACTCACTCTGATTTGTCCTGACGTTAAGGGGAGATAACAATCTTCTTTGTCATGCTGGACCTCACATTCCATCACGGTGTCTCATGGCAAGATTGTCGTTTTGTTATAACGGTAAATTGTCACGGTATTTCTTTTTGTTTTGTCAAACCGTCATAGTGTCACACAACACGGTCATTGTGTAACATTGTAATGTCCCACTGTGAAAATATTACATTGTAATTTCACAGTTATAATACAAAAAAAGTCATGGACATTATCATACTGTCACTCAGTCATAATAAAATAATGTCCTACTGTCACTCAGACACAATGAAACAATTCTCATTGTCTCACAGTCATAATGAAACAATGTCCTATTTTCACTCAGCCACAATGAAATAATGTCCTGTTGACATTTAGACTTAATGAAACATGTCCTTTTGACATTTAGACTTAATGAAACATGTCCTTTTGACATTAAGACATAATGAAACAATGTCTTATTGTCACTGAGACATAATGAAACCTGTGTCATTGTCACACAGTCATAATGAAACAATGTCCTATTGTCACTCAGCCATAATGAAACAATGTCAAATTGTCACTAAGCCATAATGAAACAATGTTCTACTGTCACTAAGCCATAATGAAACAATGTCATATTGTCACACAGCCATAATGAAACAATATCTTATTGTCACTCAGCAATAATGAAACAATGTCCTATTGTCACTAAGCCATAATGAAAAATGTCATATTGTCACTCAGCCATAATGAAACAATGTTTCTATTATCACTCAGCTATAATGGAACACTGTTTTATTGTCACTCAGCCATAATGAAACAATGTCATATTGTCACACAATCATAATGCGACGTTTTCCTAATCCACTCAGCAGTAACGTAATGTCATGGTGTTCACTGTCAGTGGGATGCTCACTGTGGTGTCGTTGTAAGAAGCCGTACACTCGGAGTTGTTCGTCACGGCTGTCGATCTCTACCGGGAACGAGTTCATCGTCTTGCACATAACCTACAACATCATCGACAGAACAGCAAATGAAACCCAAATTTTACTCAGGATTTGATGACATGCACAAATAAATTCCTTGTTTGTTTGTCGACTGGTCAGCAACATTCCAGCCCTACGTATGTTTGTTTATTGTTTAATGCCGCACCCAGCAATATTCCAGCTACATGGCGGTCTAAGTAAACTTAGGCTCAGTATTATTCGTTACACTGCTATACTGTGTCTAACAAAACCTAGAGACCGCCTCCGTGGTGTAGTGGTTAGAGCGTCCGCCCGGAGAGCGGAAGGTCGCGGGTTCGATCCCCGACCGCGTCATACCAAAAGACGTTAAAATATGGTACTTGTAGGTCCCTGCCTGGCGCTCGGCATTAATGGGTACAACAAGAACTGGTCGGCTCGGAGTTAGTATAATGTGTCTGAGTGGGGTATTCATGCTTCACTGCGGCATGGTATCTCAGTGGGCTAGCACTATAAAACAAGCCTTAGTCTGGGCTAGTACAAGCAGCTGCACATACACATACACACATGCACGTCGAAGCGGCCGAACGGATTTAACCAATCAGACAACGACTACTTGTTAGGGTTTGGCGGGACTTACAAAACGATTTATTAATTTTCTCTTCCTGGTCGACGACACTGATCTATCAACAAACAGGGGCGGTTTTCAGAGCGGTGAGGCTAATTTATGAAAAGTATTGAAAATCAAAATGAAATTGTAGTTATGGTAAGGTAGATGTGGTTTCGTCGTGAAAAAAGTGTTCCTACGCCCCTGACAAAGGAAAATCGGCATAAAACACAGATATTTGACCTGCAGTATATACACATAGAGGTTTCTAGTGACATGGATACTATTTGCTTATATTTTCGAAACATGACATACTTGAATATTTACAAAAAACGCTATTTTCAACGACTGTTTACTCACTGCGTGTATCACTCGGAAGCGATCGTGCGGAAAATAGCATTCCGACGGAATCGTGCGAGTTTTTGAGGTAAAGGTTCAAACGGTATGTGAGACTGTTAGCTTTCGCGATTTGGTAAGCTGTGTTCTGACTGGTCAGTCCAAAAGGAGTCTACTAGGTTTTGTTAGCCTCAGTATAGCAGTGTAACGAATAATCTGAGCCTAAGTTTACTTAGACTGGCTACATGGGGTGGTCTGTAAATAAATAATAATGGCTATATATAAAGCGCCTGTTTCCACGCACTTGTGGAGCAGGAAGGTTAACAATCATCTGACTTATCCCACCGGGTACCCATTTACTGCTGAGTGAACAGTGTCCATTCATAAACAAACTCACGTGCCTAAGGTGAGATCGTTGTGGGGCAGGACTGAGGTCACAGAAAATCTCAGGAGTCAAGTTGCCAAACACGGTCACCCATCCCAGGATTATTCGCGACCAAAGTTACTTAACTTCAACATATAGGCCGCGTGCTAATCGACTTGATTCGCCCTGGTGATCATCCACTGAATGCACCTTATTTTGAATTACACGATGAGGAAACGATTACAAACTTACCAGACAACACCCAGATGTAATCGCACTCACTCAGTGACCAGTGGTCAACTCACCCATCCGTCTGCCCAGGACATGTTGACCGGTACGACCATGTAACAAGACTCCCCCACCTCGTGAAGTCTTCGGGGCAAACAGCCGATGCTGATAGAGAACAAGGTGAGTCGGTGAGTGGGCGAGTGGGCGAGTGGGCGAGAGTGGGCGATTGAGTGAGAAGGTGAGTGAGTGAGTGCACTCAGCAATATTCCAGCTATATGGCGGCGATCTGTAAATAATCGAGACTGGAACAGACAATCCGGTGATCAACAGTATGAGCATCGATCTGCGCAATTGGGAACCGATGACATGTGTCAACCATGCCAGCGAGCCTGATCACCCGATCCCGTTAGTCGCCTCAAGCATGGGTTACTGAAGGTTCATTCTAACCCGGACCTTCACGGGTCAGGACGAATCAGAGGAAACAGAGGTGGACTGAAGAAGTTCAAATCTCAATCACTGGTTGAGTGAGTGAGTGAATGAGTGAGTGAGTGGGTGAATGAGTGTGTGGGTGTGTGTGTGGGTTGGTGTTTGAGTGAGTGAGTGAGTGGGTGGGTTGGTTGGTTGGTGTTTGAGTGAGTGAGTGAGTGTCTGAGTGAGTGAATGCGTGCGTGCGTGCGTACGTGCGTGACTGGGTAAGTTCCCAAGCTGCCCCACCGTCCCCGGGGGTTTGTGAGTGTTATGGACGCTTTGAGCAGTTCGTCAGTTACAAAATGAACTGAATCTTCGACTGGCAAATATTAATTCTCAATATTCATAGGGAACGGTTAGTTCATGGGATAAACTCACCTGCACACAGACTGACAGAAAAGGTACATTCTCAATAGGGGTTCTTGTATTAGAACCTACAGATCCTGTTCCGACTAAGGGGCGTAACACAACAACCCGGAAAGTGAGTGAGTAACAATATTCC